ACCAAGTTGAGAAACAGAGACACCTCTCACATGCTAGATCTAATTAATCTGAAAATAGTTTCCCTGAAACTTGACTTTTTACCTTGGCCAGCTGAAGTAATGTTTAGAAGGTCTCTTAGTGTTTCTTTCACATGTGCCCTCTCTTCACAGATCATGGCAGGAGGAGAAAAGAAGGTAGGAAACTCAGAAGGAGGCAAGGGTGGGAGAAGTCTTGTGTTTTAAGGAATGAGAAAGCCCATGAGACTGGAGATACTGAGACTGGAGGAACAAACCTCCTTCACTGTGCCCTTAGTTACACAAGCAGGTGGAAATATTTAAAAACCAGCAAAGGAAAATGCTTTGAGTAATTGCTGTGAAAACAAAGTGAAGTTTCTCTTTGGCCCTTCTGATTTTGGTCATTTGAAGAGAACAAGAGCTCTCCAAAGGTCTGTTGCCCTAGGGAGCAGGGACATTATCTCAGTGAAATATTTTGTTTGCAGGGTTTCCCAGCATAGCAGCTATTTGAATGAAATTTAGTGGGGAGGGAAGAAGAGAGGGAAGGAAGAGTATGTGTGGTACTTGTATTTTGCCTTCTATTAGAAGTGCCTGAAGAAGATATAAATTAATTGTGTAGTCTGGATATTTATTTTTTCATTTCTCTCCCACTGCTGTCTCGTTGCTGAGGATTTATATATCTCACAGGCAGCAGCTGCTCAGTGCTGCAGTGCCACAGGCACAGCAGAAAGAATAGCTTTTGGTCTCACTGTCACAATTTAGGTTCACCTGGGTTTGCTGTGGTGTAAAAGCAAATCCCCTCTGCTCTCAGGGGCCCCTGTAGCAACAGGAATTGAATGTGCCAGGGTGCAAGGCTTACAAGGCTTATCACACTTTAACTCTTAAGAGCACCTCCTTGTTCTGCACGCCCAGCAAAGACATGCCATGCGGGTAACATCGCTGCTTGGTATGTTGTTAAAAACAGGTTTGCCATTTCTGCACAACGTGAAAAGGCTTAAAGGGTGGCTTGGACTGACACAAAATTAAGGTGAACAGCATTTCAACTCCTGCTTGTAGATGAGGTATTACAAAATCATCCTAATAATCTGGTGGTTCAAAGGGGTAATTTAACTGCCTAGTGAAAGCAACACGTTTAATTAACAACAGTCTGTTGTTAAATGCGATTATGAGCACTACCATGACAGCAGACCTGTCATGTGCACTCTTCCAGTTCATTTTCCATACTAACATGATTTCACATCAAAACTGGGGAATCTCTATTTCCAGTATCACTAATGCAATTCACACAGCTCTTGCCAAAATGTACTAAAGACTCAGTCGTAACTGTTGGTGCTAAGCCACAATTCTCACTTTCCCTATCACACATCAGTCAGTAAATTACACTTCGAAGCCTTATGAATATTTCTGCTCCCCACCCCCAAGTTGTCTGAAAGGAAAAGAGATAAAGGGTTTTGTTTGTAGACAAACTACCTTCATCAAAGATACTGAAGGTTTTAGTAATTAAGCATTTTCTGCTAAAAGATTTCTGAAATATTACTTGTTTAAATGAGAGAATTAAGGGGATCATGTCCCTGAAAAATTTTTAAAAAATTAAAATATGCAAGATTAATATGTTTTCATGGTACAGAATAAAGAACTGTTAGTTGTATGTGTCTAGATCTCCCAGAAGGCCACGTTTCCAAGTCCAAAGGAAATACTTATTTAAAAACGCAGCTAGATCTGTATCAGTGAGAAAGAATTCCAGCATCCTGTCTTGGAGTAGGTGATAGGGATTTTAAAAGATGTTATCTGCTCAAGGCCCATCCAGAATTTTTTTCTTCTTTTACACAACTTAGTAATTTTCTTAGGGAACTTCAAAAACTTCAGTTTTTTTTAAAGAAAACAATATATTTTTAATTATACTGTTTTACTTCAAGGATTTGGTTGTGTTCTTAACTCTTTCTTGTCAAGCTCTATTATAGATATAGAAAACAGACAAACTAAAACAAATACTGGCAGATCCTAGAAGATATGCAATCATGTTTAAGACTGCAACAGCAAAGATCAGTTTGAGAGGCACAGTATTTAAATGAGGGCACTGAGCAGGATATTTCCCACTTAGAAGATACTGTACATAAGGCATGGCAAATAAGGCAGACAATGATGCAAGCACAGACATCTGTATGAAGAACTGTCAGATCAGAAAAGGGAAGGGAGTAAAAAAACAGGCGAAAAAATAAAGGGGAGGAGGTAGGAAGGGGGAACCAAGAACCAAGAAGAAAAAATATCCAAACTATTATCTTTATGTCAAGAATATATGCAAAACCAACTCCTTTCAGCTATAAAACAGAAGAATTAGGATACATATTCCAGAAAGATAGAGTAACATCTTGAAATAAAAGATCCGATTTGTTAGATTCTTAAAAACTTGAGTAAGTATATCTTAAAAAGTCTGCTGGCTTGATTTCAAATAAAAAAAAACATAATCTAAAGATTATTGCTTTTCATGTCTGTTAAGGCACCTGGAAGGCTGTTGTCTGTCAAAAGCAGGTTACTGTAATTTATCACACTGTAGTCTAGGGCATTAAAGTGCACTAAAATGATCCATTGAAAAGAAGATAATTTGAAAACTGTGGAAACTTACCTAGATTACTGAAACATTAAGCTAACAATGAATGGTATTGCTAGCTGGAATTTGGAAACCATTTTACATTACAAAATTTTCCTTATTTAAGTTGACTGAAGTTGACTCCCTACAATATCAGCTCTTCTAATTATTCCATGACTAAAAGAAAACAACCACTATCATTTCCAAAAAAAGAAGATAGAAAATTTAAAAGTGAAGTATTGTGGCAGAAGTTATATTAAATCGTATTTATTACTTTTAATGACTGCTGCAGCAATTCAGAAGTGGCAACAGAATCTGGAGGGATTAAATCCTCCTGATCAACATAGTACATGTGTGTTCACGTAGATGACCTCTTCTTTCATTTTCATCTTATACTGCATTCATGTTATGACCTAGGTCAATTTTTAATTGTCAGACCAGTTAAAAATGCACCAAGTAATGGTGATCTGGCTGGTGACCTTGATTACAACTGCAGTGTTGTAGGGTTTCTGTCATTTTTTCTTGTGCTCGATAGGAAGGAGCAAGAGCCAAACACACGCTCCCTTGTCAAACCAAACCTCAGGCAGGCAAGAGATAAAAGCACAAGTATCAGGTTTCTGGGATCAAATCACTCTTTGATCCTAAATGCTTTCAGCCTGGTGATCCTTAGTGTTACAGGATACTTTGTTACCACAGTTATAATCAGAAAACCAAGTAAATTGTTGTTGTTATTATTATTAATGCCACTCAAAATGCTTATGTGTTAAGTGGAGACTGAAGTAGAGCAGTGTCTTCAGTGCACTGAGCTCTTTTAGAAAGCTCTGCTATGGAAAATTAAATTATATTAGGGGACTTTGAGTAGCATACATGGTACTTCAGCCACAATTTCAGGGGCTACTCATTGCTTCCCAGCAACGGTGGTCAGCTGAACTGAGAAACTGAACCAGCTTTAAACCACAGAAAAAAAAATAAAAAGAAAGAAAAGGAAAAAAAAAAGGGTTATTCAGTAGGCAGAATGCAAACCAGTTTCCCTCCTAGATGCCCACAGGATCATAGGATCATGATGTGAAGGCTGGTGTAAGCTGGGATGTGACTTGGGCATTTAAATTCTACCAGAGCAGGGTGACTGTTCTCTAGTCAGTTTTAGAGGTTTTTTTTGGTAGCTCACTTTTCCCAGAAGAAATTCTTCCTTATCTTATGCAAAACATATCCTAAACAGCTATGCTTTCCTACTTTTCCTTCTGTACAGAAGATTATCTCTTGACTCCATCTAAACAGTAATTAAAAAAATAAAAAATTTGAAGTAATAAAAAAATTTGAAGCATCCAATCAAGCAGCATCTTCACCACCTATAGTAGTAGTACTATTAACAACAGAAATACAGACAGGGTGTTACACAAATGACTAAGTACAAAGCAGGCTGAAAGAGGTAGGTTAAAGATGCTCTAACTGACAAGTAGATTTCAAGCAACTGAGTCAGCAGTTCTGGTATCACAAAACATATTCATGTACATTGGTTTTAGGTGCAAATTCTTAAAAACTGCTTTCTCCTAAAAATGACCTCCTGGACACTCCCAGTACTACATGCAGTGACGTTTTTGTAGCTTATGCAAAGGTGGTAAAGCACAACTGTCTGCAAGAGCATTCTTGTAGAAAAGTCAGAGGGTGGGGAAGACAGGGTATTTCCCTCAACTGCCTTGCTCACAGGCTTTAATTACCTGTTAATATGAAAGTCTCTGAAGACTCCCAGAACAGCTTTCAGGTGGTTCTGAAGGCAGAGGTTGGCAAAAACAGGCTCCATTTCAGATTAAACTGCTTGCCTCCCTATCTGTTTGCATGATCAACAGCAAGCAGTCCCTTATGTTAATGTGTAAGTAAGAGAAACTTCAGAAAAAACTGCCTTTGTAAGAAACACATGCTGCAATTGCAGCAACAGTTCACAAAAATATTTAGTCTGTTTTGCCATTTGCTAATCCTTGTAACGAATTCCACTGCCATCTCAGGAATGAGAGAGCTGGCAGTAACTATGCATGGCAAACCTGAATTGATACAGAAGGAAACAACATTATCCCTCACAGTGTCCTCTTCTTTCATCCCCCAGCTTCTGTGCCACACTGCAGCAGCTAAAGTAAGCAATGGCCTAATTGGAATTAAAATTCAGATGAGCAAGCTAAACCTAAAGAAGCACAGACACATGAACAAATGACCATATGGAGGTAAGGTAGGGCTTATCTTCAGCCATGTATGGAAAACTATAGCAAAAATACCTTTGGCCTTCATCATTAGGAATTATTTGTGGTATTTTCAGAGGGGACTTCAATTGACGGAAGAGACAATGTCATTTAAAAAAATAATTTTATTTTTTCCGTACTTATTGTTAAAATAATCTGGAATGCAAATTGAGCTTGACAGAAAGCAGAAACCAGCAGTTCCACCAGTAATATTTAGACACTACTGCAGTTCTTTAAGTTTTGAGAAATTTCATCCATTTTGGATACAAAAGCAAAACTCCCCATACAGTAAGAAATGTAAAATTACAAGTCTAAATCTCATCAGGCACAAAACTGAAGTTTCCCTGAGAAGATGTAATTAAAACTAATGTATAAACTTCATATCACAATATCAGGGTGCTTTAAGAATACAAAAGATTTGAATTCTTTAATACTCCATGCCGAAGACAAAATTTTCAGGAGCATTAAGAATTACATGTAAGAGAACTGCAGCAAACAGATCTAAGTAAAATGATAACAGCTGGCTTTGCATATCCCCTTTTGCATAGCTTTTAGATAACTTCTAACGTTATATTCCTGAGATCTTTTAGTATTCAGTATGAAGTGCAGTCCAGCTGCTTTGTACCCCACCCCTTCATCTTTCTCTTCCAGTTAGCATTCATTAAATTCATGGAAAAAAAAATTTGAGAATAACCATGAACAACATGCATTTTCTATGCCTTAAAACAGTTTAACCAAACGAAGTCCATTAATTATACCTTCTAGATAATAAATATTCCCAGTAGTTGGCTTTCGTGCTGACTTTATACCTAAAGCTTCAAACTTCAGTGTGCCACAAGGCATACTCAAGACATGTTTTCTCCCTCTCGTCCATGGACGAGGCAGGGCATGAGCAGCACCAGACCAACATGGTGAGAGTCATTATACCCATTATCAGCATCACCACGAGTGCTGTAACACGTTAAAGTACGTAGCAGTAGAGTATCTGTACTTATGTTTCCCAACAGGAGCACACATCTCAGTTCTTCTGCAGATACAGAGCTTTGTGTCGCAAATACTCTTCCAAGCATTTCACTGCAAAAGGGTCGACATCAGTGTCAAACTTATTAGCAAACAAGTGGTGGTTCCGTAGCATCCAGTTCAAGTCTCCTACTCCAAAAACACACACAGAGCGGATGTGAACTCCACTGCACGGTGGGTAGGGCGCACCTTTGGACACATCACCTTCAAAGTACTGCCACTTGACAAACCTGGCCAGGGCATTCATGTCGGAAACGTCATACTTGTCACTGGAAGAAAACGCGCCTGGGACTTCAGGGATTCTCTGAATTGTTGCCCACAGGTACTCATCTGGGCTGTAAGTATCTTTTGCCCACTCAATGAACTTCAGTATTTTGCTGTTTTCTAGTACATACTCTACAAAGCTCCTGCTAACTACAAAATAGGCACTGCCAGAAAAAACTGGAGTACTGAGAGGTGGTAGTTGTTTGTCTATGCCTGTGTTCTTTATTTTACCATCAATAATCTCATGGTGTTTCTTCCACCTTACTTCTTTGTAAACAGGCATTTTTTCTGTTTCCAAGCTGTTTTCACCCTTAAGGGCTTTTAATTTCTCTACTATTTCCTTGTTGGTCTTTATAGGAAAGTCCATACCACATAGGTTTATTAGGTATTTCCAGTTTGAACTTCTTCTATGGAGATCTTTCATGCAGTTAATGTCTGCCTGCACTCTGCTCCACGAAGCATATACCACACTCTCTAACTGGCTGGAAATAAAGACATTATCAAAACATGAGACTATTCCCTTCACAGCAGCAAAAAAGGATTCTGGAGACTTTTTGTCTACATGAATGCAGTAAAAATTCTGTGGAGCATAGATTGATCTTAGAAGTCTATCAAGCATCTCAATTTTGTGATAAACCACTATTGAGTAAGCAATTGGAAATTCTGCTTCTTCGTTACTGAGAGGTTCCATAATGTATTTCCTAGTTTTGGTGAAGGAGGCACAGTCTGCAGTCATGTTAATATAATCATCTGTTGTTAGTCTGGGGCGCTTCTTAAATGACACTGATAATGCCTCAAGCTGTACCTTTTGTATTTCTTCTATATCCCCCTCAATAATCTTGGTGCAGTTAACATCGCTAATAGGATCTTCTTTTGTTAGCTCCAGATGTCTCCGGTTTAGGAAGTCTTCCTTCTGGTTAACTTTCAAAACTGAAATTATTACTAAAATGAGAGTTAGACCCAAGAAAAGCCTGAAGCGTGAGTTGTAGCAAAACCGTAATTTCCTCTTCAGCATTTCAAATACCAGGTAGCTTTGCAGGGCTAAAGAAAATGTCCTCTTCTCTCTTCATATGAGCTTCAACAGCTTCAGAAAAAAATTTTGTGTCTCAGGAATTTGGCAAGTTTTTCAGGGAAATGGAAGGAAAAATCCTAAACAAAATGGAATATGATAGCATTGTTAGACTAAAAGGTTTCTTTAAAAAATTAGTGATTAATAATTACACTTTTATTTAGTGACAGTAGAAAGCTAAATAGTGCAGCCAAAAATATTCTGTTGAAAATTAAAAATTTATGAATAAATTTTTAATAGAAAAACACTGGGAAAAGCATACAGTTTTCATAAAGCTTCCACAGTACTAACACTAAAAACTGAAGTTCAGTAAGAAAACAGAGCTGATTCACCTGCATTTAAAACAAAATTGAAGTCAGATACACTACTGAGAAGCAGGTATTTCTTGTTAATTCATGCTTTAGAGCTTGACAAGAATGTTTAATGCCCACTTCAAGGTTGATGTACATTTCCTTATCATTAAGACTTACCACTCACTTCCTGGATGGCAGTCATGCTTTAGTTCTCACTGGCAAACAAGTCCCTGCAGCCTTTCAAGATCTTAATGTGAGACAGTCTCTTCAACATCCTTCATACGAGCTTAGAAATACCACCAGGGAAGAGCTGATGCGAAGGGCGAGAGAAAAAAGTTACTACAGCAGGGCACCTGAGTTTTCAGAGTTGTGAGAAAAACTGTTACTGAATTGCTGGAATAGGTTTATAAGGTAAAAGGCAATACTTACCACCTGGATCTCAAGATGATTTTTATCAAGTCACTGCAAGTGCACTAATCTAAGTGCACAGCAGTATTGCATTACCATCATTTAAACACAATTGTTTTTAATATTCAGCAATTACTTTTATGTGGAGGCATGCTGCAATGCTGGATTGCAACAAGATTTCTAGCCAATTTTATTTTCTACTTTACTGCACAAGCACTAGATAATTTTTGTTTGTTAGTTCTGTTACTCTTGAAGTACCTTTTTTTCTGTTTCAGTACTCTGTGAATAGAATCATTGCAGCTGTGCAACAGCTACAGCTGTAGCTGTTGAGAAAGCTGCACTCTAGAACTGTATCACAGAACTCAGTCTTTTTTCCTCTTTTTTTGAAAGTACCATCTCATGCAGGTAAAATGATCAAGAACAGGATATCCTTAAATAACTTACACTGCTACTCAGATGCCACTTCTAATCACAAATTCACTGCCTAATAATTTAGTGCAGGTTTAAATTTCAAACCAGCTCCAAACTGCAAAAGTCCACACATTTTACAGAGAATGTCTTCCAAAATGTAAATCTGTAAGTTTATAAAATATAAAGTACTTGAGAGATACAAGGCTTCTTACACTTTTACTACTTTCAAGAAAAAAGATAGTGCCTCAGAATAACTTTTTTAATAGCCCTAAGAATAACAGCTACTCATAAAAACTGGGAAGAAACTCTGTTTAAGAAAAATAAGTGTGTATTGTGTCCACTGCTCTGTTTTGCCATAGGTTGTTCAGTGTTAAGAATTTCCTTTTCCCCCCTATTTTCTTCAAGCTATCCCAGTATCATTTTAAGTTTTAATTGCTAAACTGTGGCTCTTAAGCTGCTACTTGCAGATCTCAGGTGCATTTAAGAAACTGAGGCATGGCATAACAGAGTTTTTAATCAGTAATGCTGTAGAGTAATACACTACACATTGGTCCACCACTTTGCCCATGACACTGCAAACTGACTGGGCAAAGCAGCAGGTGGGAGGAAGGTGTGGAACATTGCACATGTGTCTAGCACAGGTATGAGAATCAGGAAGTACTATAGTCAAATATTTTGTATTTCAAGCCAGCAGAGAACACAAACTAGACACAAATTTGTCACTAACAACATCATATCACATAGTTTTATTTACTCTGAAGTGTACTTAGTTTTCAGAATTACAACTATAAGTATTTTATCCTGCATTTCTAATTTATTTTAAGGAAGGCGGACATTTGTTCAAAGAGTATTTTTCATGTACAGTGAAGTCAAATTGGAAGAAAATTTAAAACTTAAAACTTAAGGAAAGTAGCCCAGTGAGCTAGCATGCAATTACAGCAGAAGGCACAGAGAGGGAAATTTTAACAATGAGATCTTACACTTTGAATTAAAAAAAATTTAAAGGAAAATTCCAGAATTCTCTTTCAATTTGCAATGTGACACTGAACCCAACAACATAATTTAGAACATGTTTTAACACACTTTGTAACTTATCACACACTTTTGTACTTGCTGTCCTGCTTGTTGTCACTAGTAAATCTAATCCTCCAAAAATAATATTAATTGCGTATTAAATTAACAGAGGAAGGAGACTAAATGTGATAGTGTCCATTGGGTAAACAGTTTCATAGGATGAAGCATGTGATACTGCTTAACCTTCAATTACTGTATTCTGCCTACAAACTTAAAAATTAAGACTTTTCTAGAACTTGAAGTGTACTTCAAATACAGTTACATTTGTGATACTTTAGGTGATAGACATTGGAATCCTTTCTTTAGGCTGCTGGCACTATTATTTTATCCTATTCTTAGTTTTTATAGGAGCACTAGCATTGAGAAATAACACATATTCAAGAAGATTACCAACCCGTCACTGTTCCAAGGGAGGGAGATGATCTTGATTGAAACTGACCATGGCAGTCTTCACCTTCTAAAATTTTCAAAGAATAATGCTTGCTAAGAATTCTTTCCCGCTCCCATTTTAGAATACAACTTAGTTGAGTCTAGGATAAAGAATCCCATTCAGAAAGACCTTGTATACCCAGCTGGGTGCAATTCCTCTATTGTTCAGAGCTCAGAATAATCAGAGCCGGCATTTTCATTATACCAAAATGAGAGACCTGCAAACATTTACACATTAACATGGCTCTTATCTTTATGTGGAATTTTTTTCCCTGTAAATTTCTCTCACTGGTATGCTTCTTCCTCAGACCAATTTTAACAGTAAGTTACTATTTGTTTATGCTCACAATTTCAAAGTCCTAAAATCTGATCATATCCCATTCACAAAAGCTGATCTTTACAGGGTAAGATTTGTTGCCTTTCATCTATAATACACCTAATACACTTACTGAGCCTAGAACACTCAATAGTTTAAGACTGCATTCAGTTGATCTTTAAACATGACTAAAGCTTTACCTCTGCACAGCCTTAGTGCGCACACTAGAGAATTACCTTGTCAGAGGCAGCACTTTCCATTGTGGGAGAGGTGGAGGAAGGTTTGCAAGGCTATGGAGGAAATACTTTATTTGGCAGCCTTCATTTTGCTCTCAAGTGAGGTTCAGCTGCAGAATTTACATACGTGACCCACTTCCTTTTTTTTTTTTTCTGCTTTCTCCTCAAGTCAAAATCTGTATTTCTGAAGCAATCATCATTAAAAGGGGAAATTTACAGCCGTTGCTGATAAGTGAGGAAGTTGGTACAAAGGCTGAGTTAGCTGCCCACTTTCCTGCCAAAATTGTTCTTTATTCTGTCTACAAACTGTAAGGTATGACTAAACAAAACCAAGGTAATTTCAGCTTGATTTCTAGCAAACACAAAATTCCATAAGGAACCTAGGTCTTCAAAACAAAAATCGCCCAAAATCTCCAAAACAAAGGAAAAACCCCCACCAAGCAAAACACTTTTACAACGGTGTACCACAGCTTGGAGGGAGACCAGAGCTGGCGTGGAGGTTTTGCGCAGACAGGCTGGACTGGAGCTGCTGGTCCTACAGATGAGGATGCTTGTGAGGGCGTAGGGCCAGCACAGGTCACGGCTGCTCCAGCAGGCCTCTGGCCGCTGGCACAGCCCACCTGTGCGGCTGCACCTCTGCTCTGGCACCGCCTTGTGCTGCTGGTGGAAGGAGCAGCCCCACTCGCACCCCGGGGACCCACGCACGGCGCCAGGAGGAGAGCAACACACCCAACCAGACGGGCTCTGGGGAGCTCTCCGGCCAGCGCGGCCATGGAGATGGATTTCTGGGAAGTCCTAACGCTTTACAAGGCATATCCGGAATGCTTCAAAGCACACACATCAATTGTAGTTACTACAATTACCACGTTTCCATTCAGATGCAGTTATGCAGAACATTCATTCTGATGAGGAAGTGATTTTCAAAGCAGTAAGCAGCTTGTATAAACACAAACATGCATAAACACAAAGAGAGACTGCAGTGGACTGCAGTGTCATCTGCAAAGATCTGCCAAACACAGGAGTCATTTACTCAGCTTTTCCTAACAGCAGGCAGCACAATCTTGAAAGTAGGTATGTCTGTAAATGAATCAAAGAACTCATATTTGTTCTGTTAGGTAGTGTTGAGTCTTGGGTCTTAGTAAAAATGAGAACTGGTCATAAGCCACGTACTTGGCTTACCATAAGCCTTTATGGGACTCCTAATTCTGAAATCATATGCAGCAGGGTTTCATGTGGACACAGTTGTCTGCAAGTCCTACAACACTCTGTTGGAGTAGATGCTTTTCCCTCAGAGTTGCTCAGGAAAACAATAAAAAAGGGAAAATACACTCTCTTTTTACAGAAAAAACCCCTAACGCATTTATAGTCCATTGTCAACTTGGGAGACAGCTTTAAACAAAACTCCACACGTGACTAGGACTGCTACATCCACCACTACGTGGAAATTAAATACTGAGAGTAGCTAAAAGTAGACAACTGTTTTATCAGAGCTAAAAAAAAGATGAAAATAAATTCAAACCTCCAGGTTATCTAAAGATATTATATTCAATAGTTAGGAATCTTACGCTCTAAAATATTTCTGTTTCAAAAAATGAGTAACACTCACATGAACATACACTCTGTGTAGATTGTAAATTGAAAAAGCAGTTGGTTTCACTAGCCTTTCTAGTACTCTCTTATACTACTGTATCATGTAAACCTTCTGCAGAACAGTTCAAAGCCTTATGACTATTTCCAATGTTGTCCGTCCTTAGAGGTCCCAGAGACAGAGCTAACAGTAAGGAATTTCAGCTCACGAGAAGATATAAAGATGTTATGGCAAAGTCATTCAGTGG